AGGAATCTCTATCCTAGGAATGTAAGTCAATGTAATTCAAAAATGCTGTATAGTGATTTTTTTTTTCCTTACTAATGTGTTAAGTTATCATGGAGTAATAGACCAATCGGGATGAATTTTGGTAGAAATATTGGAGAGGGAGATTGCACTATTTGTGAAGTTATGGAGATAACAGGATGCTGGCTTAGGAAAAATGATTTTTGAAGTAATTGCCCTCTTTACTAGCTGCATGGCCATCACATTTCTTAAGAAGTTATAATTCTTTCCATAATCCTATACCCAGGTCCCAGGCTTCAGCAAAATAAAACACATTACAATTCCTTGAAGCAAGTATTTGAATTATTTGAAGCAATAATTCTTTAATACTATTCAACTGTACCACTCTATTAGCTGTCATTTGCACGTACTTCCGTTATTCTTTTAATGGTTACTCTATACTAGTGGTTCTCAAAATGTGGTTCCCAGACCGGCAGCATTGCCAACATCAGCATACATAGAAATGTCAGAAATACACATTATCCGGTCTCACTCCTGGAGGGAGAACCCAGAAATCTGCATGTTAAGCACTATAATAGTAATGCATGCCAAAATTTGGAAACCATTGCCCTGTACCATACATGTTGCTTCTCCTCCTTATTTTATACCATATGCCCTCTATTTTCTCATTTTGGTTAAAAAGGAAAAGAGAAACAAAAACAAAGCAAATGTATTTTTGTCCCATCCAAAAGTGCCTTCCTTGGTTTCTCTCTTTTCTTAATTTTCTTTCAACTAAAAATATGAAAATAAAATCATTGCAAGACGTGTATCTATTAAACCTTGCTTTATAGTTATTGGTCACATCTATTATCCCCTATGCAATGAAACAAGCTTCCAAATTTTGTCTCTGCCACCACGCACTCATTTGGCCTCTGAAGTTTTCCTAATATTCTCTCTGCAACATTTATTACTGCCTCTATGCTGCATAGTTCTTAGTAAGCTCTACTGAGTCTCCATCCCATCGAGAACTTCCCAGTCAGAACTGTGTGAGTTTCTCTTCTACCAACAAAGGGCTGCTTTCGAGCAGACCAACTCGCCCATCAAGAACAACTGAGAAAGGTAGCCAGAGTAATTACAATAAATGGTGTTACGGCCCCAGGGAGAGTTCCAGGCAGCTGCACAGAGGGGTTAAGATTTCAGAGGAAAGAAACAGAGGTGGACACAAGAAAGTGGAGTTCAAGGCTGCCAGAGTGATTTACTTCGATGACTCAAGGTTGGACATCCATGTGTTATGGACTGAATTGTTCTCCTTCAAAATTCCTATGTTGAACCTTAGTTCCCAATGTGTGTTTGAAGAGGAGGCCTTTAAGGAAATATATAGTTAAGTGAGGTCATAAAGGAGGTACCCAATCTGATAGGCCTAGTGTCCTTTTAAGAAGAGGAAGAGATGCCAGGCTTTCTCTCTGTCTCCATGAGCACGGAGGGAAGCCAGGTGAGGACCATGAGAAGCTGGCTGTCTGCAAGGCAGGAGGAAAGGCCTCATCAGAAACCAACCTGGTGGCACCTTGATCTTAGGCTTCTAGCCTCTAGAATTCGGAGAAAATAAACTTCTGTTGTTTAAGCTGTCCAGTCTGTGGTATTTTGTCATGGTACCTCAGGAAGACTGATATTTCAACATAAAAAAGCTAAAAGGCTCTAGATAACTTGTATTTAAATTCAGTAAAATTGTATGACGTTAGCCTGGCTGGTGTGGCTCACTGGCTGAGGTGTCGACCCATGCACCCAGAGGTCACAGGTTTGATTCCTGGTCAGGGCATATGCCCAGGTTGTGGGTCCAATCCCCAGTGGGGGGCATGCAGGAGGTGGCCAACTGATGTTCTCTCTCATCGATGTTTCTATCTGTCTCCTTTTTCCTCTCTCTAAAATCAATAACGAAAAAAATATTTTTTAAAAAACTGTATGTCATTAGGTCAATATATAAAAAGTATGTGTATTTCAATACACCAAAAACAGACACTGATGAACATTTAAAAAGGATACCATTTATAACAGCGCCTAAAACACAAAATATCTAGGGATACATCTAATAAAAATCTTGTAAGATGTTTAAGCAAAAACAAAGTGTAAAATATTAAGGAAGTCTTGAATTCATGGGGAATATACTGTATGCAGGTATCAGAAGTCTCAATATTATAAAAATAAAAATTCTCCCCAAATTTATCTACAGATTTAATATATTTTTAGTAAAATGTATCTGCCATACTTTTATGGAAATATAAAAGCTGATCTTAAAATATATTTGGAAATACATCATGCCAAGAATTGCCAAGATCATCTTGAAGAAGAGCATTTGAGATATCACTACTTCTTATAAAGGTGTAATAATTAAGACAAGTATCTTAGGTAAGTAGATCAGTGGATCAGAATATAGAGTTTACAGCAAACCACTTGAACAACAAGGTGACATTTCTGTGCAATGAGTAAAATATGATCTTTTCAATAAATGGTTCTGGGTCAATTTGATATCCATAAGTAAAGCCTGAATCTCTACATTTACCTCACAACATACACAAAAACATATTTTTCTAAAATATTTTTCTTTAGAATATAGAAACAATAAAGTTTCTAGAAGTGAACATAGGAGAATAAGCTAATGTCATTAAAGTATGAAAATATTTCTTAAAGAGGCCTTCAAAGGAAACTATAACTGAAAGATTGATAAATCAGACAATATTGGAATAAACATTTGATCTTCAGAAAACATCTTTCAGAAAGTAAAGAGATAATAAGCCAGGGTAAGAAAAGATACTTGAAGTACATATACCAGAAAATGACTTTTTTTTTCTGATCTGAGCGATGATTAAATGAATGTGTCAAAATTTATTGAGCCTTATCTGTTTAAAATTTGTACTTTTTGTACGTATGTTACATGTCTATGTAAATTCATGACCTTATGTTTCCTAGGACATCTAATACATTTGGGGTTCATTAATTTATTCAGCACTTGCTGAGCATCTGCCTTACACCAGAACACTAAGCGAGATCCAGAATTTACAGCTGTGAAGAAAATGCAATCTCTACCTTCACAGAGTTTATACAGCTTTGATAATTTGTGGTTTTCTGTAGTACACCTGTGTAAGATCTGCATGGTTAAGCAAAAGTCACCGTACAGCTGAAGAAAATGTGCCAATATGTTCAGTTTATGTATAGTTTAACTGGTATTCATATTAAGAACAAGCATAGCAAAAGCTGCAACAGCTAAATTGCTCTGAGCTGGATATCCTCCATCTGCCCCTCCTGATCCATTCTCCGGTCTTCTCTCTGCACCAGATATCTGATTTGTATGGACTACATCAGGCATCTGGCAAACTGTGACTGATTACATAAATAAAGTTTTATTGAAGCACAGTTACGCTCATTGTTTACATGGCTGTTTTCAAGAGACCCTCTGACTTGAAAGCCTGAAATATTTACTATCTGACTCTATAGAAAACAAACCCTGAATTCTGGACTATCTCTTGCCTTCTAAATTCTCCTTGGGTTGGTCAATGGGACAAAGAGCTAGAGACTGAAGAGAGGGAAAAGAGTTGCTTCTATGCAAGAAGTCCTTGGGCTAGGGGTCCCCCTGCAAAGCTCTCAGCACTCCTAAGACAGCTTTCTCTTTCTCACTCTCTTCTGCTGGGTCAGATCACTTCTCACCTTCATCCCTTCCCACACAGGGGTGGTAACAGCCCTGCACTCTCTCTTGTGGTCATCCAATGTCTTCTGTACATCTTTGCAAATTGTTCTTTCATTGAATGCTCCTCAAATTACTCTAAACTGTGTAAACCATATATTTTCCAGTGGGACCCTGGCTGATAATTTGTTAACTACTCAATTGCTCGCCAGACACTGTCTTAACAGCTTAATATCCGTTAGATGATTTAAACCTGACAAAACAGCTCCGATAGAAGGATATAATTATTATCATTCTCTTTTTACAGATGAGGCAGCTTATATTCAAGTTTGGAGGCTTTACAAAGTTTACACAGCTGAAAGGTAGCAAACTTGACACTTGAATTCGCAGATATTGATTACAGAGCCCCCAGAGCTGAAGATCTTAATAGTTATTTCAGTCATTTTCATCACATTATGGTTTTCTTGACAATACTTATTCAGCTGATGCTCAACATTAGAATACTTTTCTTATTTATGACTTCATTTAATCATATCACAACAGTAGATCTAAAATTATTTCATATTGCAGGTAGATAAATTGAAGCTAATATAAATTAAATCATTTTCTCAAGGATTCTACACGATAAAATTTAATACAGTCAAGTTTCAGGCCTTTAGGTCTCACATTATATATATAACTATACAGTCATCCTTTTTCAAAGCATCTACTTTTGATTCATTTAATTTTTTTATTGTTGAAAGTGTTATAGATGTCCCCCTTTTTTCCCATTGGCCCCCTCCCACTTCCCTCCTGCCTTCCCTAGCCTAGTGTCCATGTAGATTGGTTGTGCATATGTGCATATAAGTTCTTTGGTTTATCTCTCTCTTCCCCTCCCAACCCCCATCCCTCAGTTTTGTCAGTCTGTTTCTATTTCTGTGATTCTGATTCTGAATCTCTTTTGGTCGACAGGTTATTTTCATTATGTTCCACAAATAAGTGAGATCATTTTGAATAATACTTAGACTTGTTTTTGCTATAAAAATTTTATGTGTGTGTGTATATATGCACGCACACATACACACACACACATATACTGTACTCATATCATTATATACTTATACTGTACTCATATCATTATATACTTATACTCTATTTATCCTAAGAGGTTATCATCTGTGTAGAGTAATGTGGTGAAATGTGGTATATGTTATATGTATGAGATAGGAAGGTGGGGCATTGGGAGCAAAGAGTTAATAAATAGGTTGAATTAAGTTTTCCATGTGACTTGGGAATTGTTAGCTTTTTTTTTCTGATCCTAGAGCATTACAAGTTAATTAATTTGAACCAAATTTAAAAAGTAGAGATGGTGATCACTTCAGCAGCACATATACTAAAATTGGAACACAGAGAAGGTTAGCGTGGCCCCTGACAAGAAAGAAAAAAACAAACAAGGAGTAGAGATGAAGTGCTTTCCCATGCTGCTGCGATTTGATTGGTGAGAAGCAATGTTTCAGCCAAGTTACCAACGAACCTCTGTCTAACGCTTGGCTTCCTATAGTTCACCTCATCCCAAGCCAAGAGTCTGGCAAAGAGCTGCTGGAGACACTCAGATTTCGCATTCCACGTTTAATTGGCTTTCTGAAAAGATAAACAGGTAGCAAACATTAAAAAGGTGCTAGGTACTTCCTCCAGCCCTAAGGCAGGAAGAACTATGGTTGTAATAAATGCTCCTCCCGTCGGTCTATGGAAAATATTTTTGTTGCCAGTTTCCTGTCATGCACACAAATGCTCCTAATTGCCTCTCCCACATTCAGAGAATGTATATTTTAGGAAAATGTGTCTAAAAACAAAGGTGCACATGTCTTATTTGTTTTGCTCAGTCTACAGAGGTTTCTTAAACAAAAAAAAAAACTATCTTGAAATAGGAACTCAGGGTATATGGTGTGCGTGTATGTGTACCTATGTGTGCTTAAATTCCTTGTCTTTGATGATTATCCTCCAATCAGATCTTCGTTTCCTGGGTTTTGGGTACAGTAGGGTAAAAAGAAATCTGATTGGAGCTGTCGACTGCAGGGATGACATTGTCCTGTCCAACAGCAGGATAGTCAGCTTGCTGTGTGTCCACACCAGTAGTCAATGGGGAAGACATCTTTGTGTGTTAGTTTAAGTCCTAGAACGCATCAGTTCAATCACCAGAGAGCTTTGATCTCAAAGTTTTATCTCCCACATGTCTCAGGAGCAAATAAATGTTGATAGTGGGTTCTGAGAAAGTCAGGAAGATTATGCTCTAGTCCCAAAGGAGGACTCTTCTTTCCGAGACTTATAAAACATACCACATTTATTTCTATTTCTATTGGGTTTATATATTTCCAGTGGCATCTGACCATTGGTCTGTCAAACATTAAGTCCAAGAGACTATCTGCCTGCTAGCTGATCGGTCAGATGGAACTACAGGTAGTTACCCTCAGCTTGTGACTAGTTGGTTGGAGCATAATCCCATCTTATAAACTGAAAGGTTGCAGATTTGATTCCCAGTCAGGATACATACCTAGGTTGAGGGTTCGATCCCTAGTTGGGGCATGTTCAGAAGGCTACCAATCGCTGTCCTCTCTTACACTGATCTCTCTCTCTGTCTCTCTCTCCCTTCCCTTCTCTCTAAAATCAATCAGATCCTTGAGTGAGGATTAAAAAAGCAAAATACAGGTAGCTCGTGTTTCCTCCTGGTGCAGGAGGCTCAGTCCCTGGAGGAAGCATTCTCAATATGGTTGGCAGAACGGACACAGGCTATTGGAGAATCTGGGTCACTGGGTCCCAATATGTTTAGGACAAATGCTGGTATTCTACAGGCTATACTGAAATCCCTTACTTGAAATCTCTTAATGTTAACATTTCTCCAATTTCCAAAAAAATATCAAAAGTGACAAAGTGGCAAAAGCGCTTATGTTTCACGGGAAAGGCTAGGGATGGCTAATTTCTTTTGACAGCTTATTTGTGCGTACATATTTATAAGAGTTACCTTTTTATCTGTGTTAATTATATCATCTGGAGTTCCGGTCAGAAGGTTTCCTTTTAGGCCTATCAGCTGCATTAAGGAGGAGTTTTGAGGGAAGCAGTTTCTCCACTCTGGGGTAGAGCAATGCAGACCTTTTCTGTCAAGCAGGTGTCTCTGGAGCTAGATCTGAAAGGATTAATAGGATTTTGACAATCAGAGAGAAGGGTGACCAGTAGCAGTCAAGGATGGGAGGGGAGACTGCACATGTCATATATGGAAGTCGGCTCAGGCTGAAATGACCAGAATAGAAGGCTCACTGGAGGTGGTAGGGAGATAATAAAGAAAAGTTTGCTAATTGTTACGCAATAAATCTTTTCTTGATTTTGAATCTTATTTCTGCTATCAGGTTTAGCTGTCTGCCCCCTGACATTAAGGCATATGTAAACCTTTTAATACCTTTGCTGAGTGACTCTCAAAATACTCTCCAGTAATATAAGAACCAAGTGCAATTTGGGGTGATGGCCCTGTCAGTTCTCTGGGCCTTGGGACTATGCTAGCTGGTGTCCTAACCACGGGATAAAATTTCCAGCCAATACAGTAGTCCCCCTTTTTTGCATGGGTTCTCTTTCCATAGTTTCAATGACTTGTGGTCAACTACAGTCAACTATGGCCTGAAAATATTAAATGAAAACTTCCAGAAATAAACAATTCATAAGATTAAAATTGCATGCCATTCTGAGTAGCATGATGGAATCTTGCACCCTCCTGCTCCCTCCTACTCGGGACATGAATTGTTCCTTTGTCCAGTGAATCCACCCTGTGTACACTATCTATGCATTAGTCACTTATCTGCAGCCTTGGTTATCAGATTAACTGTCGTGGTATCCCAGTGCTTGTGTTAAGTCACCCTTATCTGACTTAATAATGACCCCAAAGCACAATGGTAGTTAGTGATGCTGGCAATTCAGAAATGCCAAAGAGAAGCAGGAAAATGCTTCAAGTGAAACGTTGTGCATATATGAAAAAACAGTATACATTGGGTTTGGTTCTATCTGCAGTTTCAAGCATCCACTGGAGGTCTTGGAAAGTATCCTTGACAGGTAAGGGGTACTACTGTATTGCCAGTACACTGGACCAACTATGCTGACTTTCCCTTAGTAAATTATACTCCAACCATATTGAACTTCTCACACTTTGTAAAATTTATTGTCCATTGAGTAGACTTTCCAGATTTTGTTCTTTTATCCTAGAACACTCCTCGCTCCCTGCTTCTGTCCTCCAGAACCACTCTTATGAACCTCTAAGTCCCAGAGGAAGTATCATTTCTTCTGGAAAGCCATCAGCAACCCCCTGCATGCTGCACCTGATCCATTCGGCTGTCACTGACTTATTTCTTTCTTGTTTCTTCTAATTGATTATAAGTTTTGCGAGGGTAGGAACTCTGTGCAGTTTATCAGTATACATCCTGAGCTCAAAATACACATGACAAACATTTACCACTAAAGAATATATTGTGCAATGGGAGAAATGTGTCAAATAGACCTTGGTGTTTGCATTGGTACCCTGACTGCCTCCTTCCGACTCCCGCACTCCCAACCTGGGTGCGCTGATTCAGCAAGGCCTAATTTATGAGCAGAAAGTTGCTTGCCTGTGGGATGAGGCTAAGTAGAAGTATCTACCAAATTTTAGATGCCTGATTATTTCCCTTTCTCTACTGTAGGTATTTGTTTCAAAATATGGGCTCATCCAACAGCCTTTTTTCTTTATTGTACATTGCAACAGCCTTTGTAATAGTTTTCTCATCTGACCGTGAAGTCTGTCTATTGCTTCTACACCAGCTTTGTTGAGCTTATCTTCTCAGATACAGAGTCACACCTCAGTGAGCTGGCATGATTCAGGCTCCTCAAAAATAGTCCTGAACCCACAAGGCTATCTTTTCGTTCAAACCACTCTGCAATTCTTTGATAAGGACCAGTTGTTAGCTAGTTTGTCATTGTGGTTGCTAATTGATGATTTCATGAGTTCTTTCTTCACCTGGCATGTTTCATTTGGATACCTAGCAAGAGACCTTGCCATTGGCCCTTAATTCACCCTTTGCCACTGGAACTGCACTTGAAATAAAATCACTGCTCTGTCCTCATACGCTCTTTGGTCTTGCCTCATTGCCGTTATCTAGCCACTTCGGGTACTTTTACATGTGTTTCTCACTAGACACTCAGTCTAAAAAAGAAACTTTCTTCAGTAGTGGGTTGGGGAGGAGCTCGGCTATTTTGTTAGAATTTCTAAGCCAGATTTTAATTTAATGTATATTTTAGGCAGACTGATTCTCAGTGGGAATTAATATCTCAACAATGAAGCGTTAAGAGCTTAGGCCTTGAAGTCGGCCAGGCCTACAATATTATCTATGTCCCTTTGGAGAAATAACTCCTTCTGTCCAGGCCTCAGTATTTCTATATTTAAAATAAAGATGCTTATAATAGCCCCTATCATATATGGGTGCCATAGTTATAAAGGCAATAATGCCTGTTCACCTTTTAGCCTAATCCCTGGCACAGATTAAATAAATAGTACAGGTATTACTTTATTATTATTATTATTATTATTATTATTATTATTATTACTGTTCAGCCACCTTGAAATGCTATGATGGAATGGCACAGTCTCTAATTTGAAGTTCCTAGTCTGGCAGTAGATCCTGAAAACTATTTTGATGATGAAAGTATCTGTAATATTAGAGCTTATACAGCAGCCATGACCAAAAAAAGAACCAGTGTATGGGTATTGATTAACTGCTCAAGGGCAAAGACAACACAGAGTCTATAGTGACTCCTTGAGTCCCCTGGAGAATCCTGGGATTCACCAATAATGACCTTACTCATACTTGGGTCCAAAGCCCACCCTGTGTAACACCTTGCCTTTATGAGACAACATTGAGAAAACTTTAACCCTTTGACATTTATCTAATGAAATCAAAGGACCAGATGCCATCTTCAGTGGGTTGTACTTATTTTTGTTTGTATGTCTCTGAATAGAGGACATGTACTATTGATTTTCAACCGGCAGTTATGCAACAACTTCTGAAGCCTGACCTTGGATTTTCTGGTTTGCACCTGAGAAAGTTCCTTGGCCTTTTCATCAGCACATGACTCTATTCAGGCTCGGAGAGGAGGGGGATGCAGAGGAGGTGAAGCCAGCTTCAAAGATCTGTGATTAGTTAATAGCTTTTTAAACATTTCCTTCTTAACAAGGCAGATAAGAGGAGAGACTTCTAATTAGCTGGAACTGTGGAATAACACAGCTGTAGAGAACCTTTGTCCAAGCCCTAATTTTACAGAGGAGTAATCTTAGGCCCAGAAGGATGGATCACTGATAGAGATGAGCCAGGTCTGCAAATCAGCTGTTCAGACTTAAGGGTTGGTTATTGTCAATTTGAAATCTGATATTCTCTCAAGTCTCTAAGGTATAGCATCACTGGACTAT